AAGAAGCCCTAATTTCGTTGGAGAAGAACATTGTCCCTGATTTCCAGAATTTCGAGTTTGAACAGCTTTATGACGACCCAATTTGAATTGGATTCTATGTCAAATTCAAAGAAGTGAAGGAAAAAGCTTTTTTATGAGTGGGGGGCTGACATGATCCAACTTGGACCAATCTACAAGTCAGAATTGCTTGATCCAGAAGCAATCCCATCCCCTAACATGAACCCTGAATTTTGTCTAAGTGTTGTTACAGTTTCAAGTAAGCCACTTTGCACACTTGGTTCTTACAAATGGCTCCATGGAAATGGAATGTTAGTGGGTTGTTTTGGAGATAAAATGTTCCTCTATAAGTTAGTAAGCCTGGTTGCTCAAGATGAAGCTAGGAGGGTCATGTTTGGAGCCTCCCAAAACGCTATGTCGAAACTGGAATTCTGCCATAAATTGGCCAAGTTTCAGAACTAGTTTGAGTACCCTACCTTGAAGTCTTCAAACGAAAGCCTACAAGATCGTATGAAGACTAGCCAAACTACCTTGCAACCCAGCAATCCGAGTCCTTTGTGGATTAGGATTCTTTTTATCTTTTCCTATTTGCATTTGATTTCTTAATTTGATTCTGTTTAGGAATTTCGTATTGAGTTGTTAGCTAGCCTAGGTATATTTAAAGATGTTCCATTGCATTGTAACAGGTAGAATCGATTAGTTGAATAAAACATGAGTTTTTGGTTCATTGAGCTTTGGCTTCGTGGATTGTTGAGTTGCTTGGTGGATTCCGAGCAGCTTGAAAGCTTGTATCGATCAATCAACACCTTGATCGTGGCTGAGCATCGTTCTATCTATTTCGAGCCTTTCCTCGTTGTGTGGAATTGCATGAGATCGATCATCCATAACCATGAAATCCATCCCCTGTTTGTTTGAGTTTGAGAATTGCGTTAAGCTCAATTCGTTGTTGCGTGACTCTGGTTATAAAGACTCATCTAGGGCCTCATCATTAGTTGAGGTGTTGTTAGCACCTTCATAAGCATATTCAAGTCCAATTGTTGGTGATGGTGTTGTTGGACTTGCAGGTTCTTCCTCGGCATCACCTTTGGAACTTTAGTTATGGTTAAAATTTGTGGTCCTTCTTCTTCAATAGAATCTTCGTATACATCGTAACTTCCCATATACTCAAACTTAGTTGCTAGAATGAAATCCACAGCTTTCTACATAAACTATCAATGAGAGTAATACTGTACCTCTTACCCCTGTTGGAGGTTGGAGTAATGGGGCCACATAAGTTAGCATGCACAAGTTGAAGCTTCTGAGTTGCTTTCCACTAGCTATTCTTGGGGAAAACTTGACTATTTTGCTTGCCAACTAGACAGGTGGGTCAGACTTCAACCTTGCCTTAGGTAAACCAATAACCAACCCCTTTTGTTGCACTTGCATCAATCCCTGTGTAGTCAGGTGAACAAACCTTATGTACCAAATACTCCGTGAAGAGTCTTCTGCATTTTCAGTGTGCAACCAATGAGCCTCAGTCTTGTTTGATTAATCTTACAGGACAAACATCCCATTAGTTCTCATGGAGGTTTCCAGCAATAAATCCTTGATTTCATGATGGATCATGCATATGTTTTCTTAACCATAAACTCCAATCCCTTCTCTTGCAGCTACCCTTATGCTCAGAAGTTTTATTTTCAAGTCTGGCACAAAGAACACATTGTGTATCATCAGTGATACCCCTCCCATATGCGGTCTCACTTTCCCATTCTGACCTTACTAGTGTGGTTTTCCTCCAAAGATTCAAACCACCTATTATCTCCACTCATATGGTTACTGCAACCAAAGTCTAGGAACCACCATCTACTCATTCCTTCCATTTGAGCTTCTTCTAGAATAGCCATCAGCAGGACATCATGAGACATATCTCCGGGAGAGTTGGAATTGTTATGGGAGTTGGAGTAGTAAGCCTGTTGAGCTGTGTATCAGTCAGGGCATTCACTATGATAACGACCCAACTTGTGACACTTGAAGCACTCAACATGCTCCATATTCCAACGCCTTCCTCCTCTTCCTTCCTTTTCCTCTGTATGAAAAAACACTCTTGCCTACTCCTCTACCACCTCTGCCTCCAATATCATAATACATTCTCAAAGCCCGATCCTCTTCAAGCAGAGGTTTCCTATGAAACTTGTGCTCATGAACAAGTAAATAGCTCTAAAGAGCATCAATAGATAAAGCCTTAATGTCCTTGGACTCCTCAATGGAGCACACAACATAGTTAAACCTTTCTGTCAATGTTCTTAAGATCTTTTATACTATCTTAAAATCAGACATCTCTTCTCCACAGTTCCTCATATCATTATCTATTACCATTATTCTACTAAAATAGGCCGTAACAATTCACCCTCTTTTATCTCAAGAACTACAATAGTTCTTCTCAAAGCATGCAACTGGGCCTTCTAAACACGAGCACTACCCTGATTATTTTGTTGGTGATGATCTCCAAAATGGACTTTTCAATGGAGTTGAATAGATAGTTCTTTGTTTTGAGATCTTTCAGCTCGAGATCATCCAAATTCTTGAAATCAATAATAGACAACCAAACCCCAAAAAGTGGTTCATGAAGCCGTCACTGACGACAGTCCAATACTCCCTTTATCTTGGGATATTTTCCATAAGTAGACTCCACTTATTAAAGTCCAATTTCACTTGTGCAAAGCTAGCATCGTCACTCATTTTTGCAAAGCATAACCAACCCTGGTAACGCAATAGTCTCACTCACCCTTTCAAACACAAATCCTCACAAAGTAATCCTGTGTTTACCAAACCCAGATCCGGTAAATCAACACTCAATTTCACTCTTGATCAATCACTCAGAAACTTGCTAAAAACAAGAATGGTTACAGCTTGCTAATGCCATGATACCTAATGTAGAACACTTGTACTGCAATCTGACAACTTTTATTGGATGAAAAACAAGATACATATAGTTGTTGATGCAAGCCACAAACTTAGGGTGCTACCAACGTTCTATGATCCTTAAAACAAGCTAACACGATCTGCTAGCAACCTAACAAGCTGAAAACTCTCAACTAACCCTCCACACACAGGACTCAAATTCAACTAAACATAACTACTAGACTGACTCTGCAATACTCCAAACGAAGAAGTACTGTTTATTTGACAACAGCAACACGAGATGAACTCTGAAACTTGGAGCCCAATACTCTGGGAATTAATCACCAAACTACAGACGAGGTGTAGCACCGGCGCCTCCATCAGCTGGAACCCTCGCAGCAGCAGCAGCCTCCCGGGCCGCCTGAGCGGCTTGGCGAAACCTCGGGACGTAGTATCCAGCAGCACCACCTCCACCTCCATGGGCCGGAGCAGCAGCATCACCATGGCCGGCGGCGACAGGCACTACTACAGCAGCTTGCCCCAACCGAGCCTCCGGCCTCAACCTCTCTCTCTCTTCCAGCTCTCTCTCCCTTCGCCTCTGCTTCTCCACCATTGTGGCCAGCATCTCTCTATGGCGAGCTAACTCTTCCTCCTCTGCATCGAAGTTCCGGATTAGTCAGAAAACAGGAGTCCCGGAAACTAATCATCATAACAGTGGAAGATGACAGTAAAATAACAAGAGGGCATCAAACAAACAAACAAACGGAACCCAATACATCGCCGATCGCTGCTCACTATATCCCAGTTCATGATGATTTAATTCCCGAAATTCGACTAGATAAGACACTAAGCCACCACCTAGCTAGATTTTCTACAGCTAGAATCCTCATGAATTCGGATGAAGGAATTGTGAAATAAGGCACAATGTACAGATCGGTGAACTATAAATCCACGAATAAAATCAAGGAAACGTAGACAAACAAACCTTCAGCACGCTTGTCCGATTCTCCGAAAGACGACATGATGGCGCAAGCAGAGCGGTGACGACGGTGGTTGTGGTGGCGAAGGCGGCGGCGGCAGCTGCTGTAGGGTTACTCGTACTCGATAGGGTGGACTCGAGGTGTGAGAAAAGTAAAATCGAAGGGATTTATAAGTTCTAACCCCCGACGCCTTTTCGTACCTGACGCCTACTCTCTTATCCTTTAAAAAGCCTTTCTTTTTGTTATAACTTTAAGTGACGCCTTACTTGTTTCCTCGTTTGATCGACGCCTTCTTTTCCTTGACGCCTAGCAGATGACGCCTAGTACGTAGATGACGCCTAGTACTATACAGTTAATGGTGAGTATCTCCCAACACTGGCAAAACACTCTTAGGATAGGTAAATTTACGAGAGAACCATTAGCTAGTTAATTGATTCTAGAATCGTTATTATAATAGGAGACATGATCGAAGTGAATTTTTTTAATAGTTTAGGGTTTTGTAGTATAGTTTAGTTAGGAGTAGGACTAGTTTGTTATGTATATTTACTTTAGGTATCCGAAACCAGTTAAACCGAGGGAGGGGGATTCATCAGTTAAATCGTTTGGTTCATCCCTAACAATACAATCAAATGAACTGAACCACTATTGTAATTAGATTTTAGTGGTTCTATTGGCCAACCGTATATCTGGTCTGGTTCCTTAACAATGGTTAGGAGGTTAGCAGCTTGGAAAAAATGGGAGGATAGGAGGGCTTTACCAAACCCGGCCCATAAGATGCACAATAACAAGTTCCTTTAAAAATAAAATTGTAACATCAATTTGTCCATACAAATTATGCATACAAAAAATACCAATCTAGAACATACAAGCAAACCACAAATTTTCCATACAAATTGTTCAACATTAAAGATAAACATTCATAAACAACATAATTAATTGACAACTTCTTTCTCCTTTAGAACTTGAACAGTGTCATCTTAGCTTCAGTCTCCGAAACAAACTAAGCCAGTATAGCGATTGAAAATTTGGCATGTGTTCTTTGATAGCACACACAATGATAACACTCTAATTGCACATGTTTATTCGCTCACTTCTTGGGCGTTTAAGATTGATTCCTTGCATATTGAGCCAATTTTATGCTAGGTTGTGCACATATGCAATGTTTCAGGCCCTAGAGCGTGAATGGAGGCTTAGGAGCAAGTTTGGGGATAATTGGGCAATGTTCAAGACCTTGGAGGGTGAAGAACTGAGTTCCACGGTCTGGGCATCATGTTCCATGCGTGGAAGACCAAATGAACCCATGGATTGAGCAGAGGTAATTCCCCTATCTGAAGGTGCAATTTTGGCTATTCCCCTATCTGTGCTAGCATTCCACAGTCATGGAATTGGACTTCAACCATGTAATAGGCCCGCAACAGGTATAAAGGGTCGTTTTATGCGTTTTTGGAGGGGGGAGCTGGATGTGGACCCCAAACACCCAAGAGACGAACCAAAGAGAGAGAGGGTGATTTGAGGGCGATCTTGGAAAGGAATTGGATGATTTCTATGTCTTGGCGGCTCGAGGAACAAGCCCATACATAAAGATTAAAGATCTGGAAAGTTATAATGTACTCTCCCTCTCCTCTATAGTAGCTTCCCTTCACTTAGGTTTTGAAGAACCCTAGTTCCATGTGTTATCATCTTTGTTGTATGAACCTTTCAACCTTTGGATGTTATAATGATTGGTTTTATTCAATTGAAGTATGTTGATTTAAGTCAATTAGATTTTGAACACATTCTTTTGATTTCTGTTTTGTTCCAGGATAGATAGAATCTGATTAGGTTGATAGAGCTCTTCGATTGGAAGTAGTATATCGAGTGTGCGAGAGTCAATATCGATTCATTACTCTGTACTGGAATTCATTCCACTAGTGGAGATTTTTGTTTATTGTCTTAGCATTTTACTGCATTGTACGTTAGTCGCTTGTCGGGTACTTTGCCTAAGAGGCTTAGTCGATTTAAGAGATTCCAAACTATTATCGGATCTTCCAAAATATAATCATCAGTAAAACAACTAAAATGTATTACAATTTGGACCTAATTGAGGATCTAGGGGAAATCATACCTAAATGAGTTCCCAACCTGTAATTAGTAGTTTAACCAATTTTAGCTTGTCCATTAGTTTAGTTAATTAAACCTTCATCTAATTTGCTAGATAATAAACTGAAGTTTAGTAATAGTAACTCTAGAGATCCGTGGATTCAATATTTATTACTTATGACCCTATACTATAGTCCTTTTTATTGTTTCCACTTACCTTTTGTTAGGAGGTGTGTTGTAGCGAATCAAGTTTTTGACACCGTTGCTGGGGAACTTCTGGATTTTTAGGAAATGCCTAGGTTTGTTACTTTAGCATTTTTCTTTTCTTTTCCACCCTTTCTTTTAACTTGAGTGTTTTGTTTTTGTTGGTGTATATCTGAAACATATGGATCCTCATGGCTTCTCCAACCATTGGGGGTATCCACCACTACCCGAGTGGTATTACCCCGAGACTTCCTGGTAAAATCAAGGAGGAGAAGACTACATATTTTCGTACTAATTTTCAACCACTAGCTATTTGATATCCGAATTACTATCCGTGAAACATCTCATACATTATTGGTTCGGTTTATTATCATTTCGGTAAATCAAAACGGTTGCCCACACCCAATTTATATGAAATAAATAGACACACATGCATCTTTTTGTGTTGTTGTTGAAAGATTGCCATCAAACGTCTAATTCATAATAAGAATCAAACGATCATGAGCAATGCCCATTGCATTGTGTACCATCCATCGACCAAGTTCGGGATCGCACACATTGAAGCGATGTGTGCCAAAATCAACAAAGTGACTCATATTGGCTAAGAAATCAGCAGCAAAATTAGCCTCCCTATACACATGGTTAATCCTAACCTCCCACTCGCTACTAAGTAGGACATGAAACTTCCTAGCAAGGATTCCATGGCGATGATCATCATCAAAACAGTTCATGGCGATGTTGATAGCAGCAGTGGATCCAGGTTAAGTTGAACTTTTTCTAACCTCTTTCCCAAGCAATATGCAAACCTTCAGTTGCACCCTTGAGTTAAGCACTTATGATTGAGAAATTACCAATGTTACAATCCCCAAGTGATCTCGCAGAAGTCATCCTGTAGCACCTATTCCAGATGGTGAGATGACCGATCAATCGGTTTGAATCTGAATCCATCCAGCCTCAGGTGGTTTCCAAAACACAGGATCATTTTGGTAGTGCCTTCTTGAATTGCAGCAATTGCCCTAGTCCTTTGTTTAGCTTACTTAATTATGTAAAGCCAATTATCCATTCTGCAACGAAGAGTGGGCTCATTGTAAGTTCGTCCATCCATGACTTCCTCATTACGCTGCTTCTAGTGGTTCCAGCAAATGACTCTGAAATCGACCACTTTTCTTAGTGGAGAAGATTCGAGAGGAGCCATTCCTTGAAGGTGTTGTTGGCATTGGTCATGGACAGCTTGCAACAGAATTTCTCCCAGATTCTTTTTGCCTTGTCACAGGTTCGCAGGATGTGTTCAATTGATTCATCACTGTCTCTACAATGGTTGCAGTTGTTGTTGGTTGTGATGTTCCTTCTTGCACGTTCTTTATTAGTAAAGAGTCTTCCGTGAAGGACAAGCCACAGAAAATGCTAAATCCTGTTGGGGCCTTTCCACCTCCAAGAGTGTTTTCCAAGTTCAATATTCTTCGTCCTCTTCCTCCAAATTACCAGCAAGGTTATCAATCGATCTTTTCCGCCCTTGCAATTTTGTTACCAATATCGAGAATATCTTCATCAAAATAAGTAAGGGGAAGGCAAGGGAGACAAACCCAGATAGTTGATCTATTGATATTATCAAAGTCAAGATCGAAATTGAGTCTCCATGGCTCCGAGACGATGTAATGGTCCTCAATTTTCCGTGGACCGCCATAGAGTGTTCGATCGTGATCAAGCTGTGAGTCAAAGGTAGCATGGAAGTACCCATTTCCAATATCACCCACTATCAGTCCTCCCGTCTTTGCCCACATACGCTAGATCCTTCGTTGAATTAAGGTGAATGGGAAGGAGCACTCGAGGACTATGAAAGTAATTGCACGTCTCCATCTGTTGCAGATTTTTGCATTAGTTCTCTTTTTGATCGGATAGTCAGACAATAGGGATCATCCTCAGCCTTTTTGTGTCTGATTCGCCGGACATTAGATCGTCTCCTTCTGGGATATCCAGTGGCGGATTGTTCCCTATAAATGGGTCTATGTAGCTAGCTTTCCCTACTCCTACCTCCAGTGTCCCCTTTGTTAGCGATGCTAAATTTCCCTCCTCGGGCTCTTCCATACTCTGCATCTCTTCATTCGTCGCTCGAGCTGTGACGACATCGACATCCATCTCATTCTGCCCAAATATCCCGTACTAGTGCTCGCCTTGAATTTCTTGCTTGGTTGCACCGACGAGGTGACTTGCGACCCGTCCGACGGCTTCATGCAGTGGTCTTCTCCCACAGTGGCGGCTGGACTCACAACGGACATTTTTTCAAAAGATGAGAGAGTAGACCTGGCAATCGGGTCAGGTTGGGTAATTTGGGGTTGGAGTTTCAGGTTACCTGTCGGGTCATGTTGGGTTGGATTATTTCGGGTTAAATATTGACCCAACCCATTCGGTTTCGGGTCCGGTTACTGGTCGTTTCGGGTTATGAGCGCTCTCAGAAACATTATCAAACATACATCATATTTTTTTAAAGAACACAAATCTTCACATATGCATGGCAATAGTTTACCTAACACATGTCAATTAACATATTCTCAAATCATCTCATGCTAATGAAATGAAATACAAATTGCACAAATCGTCAAAAAACAATCACAAGAGTAATACTACTACAAGAAACACATGATATTTGATTATCCTTAGGGCCCGTTTAGTATTGTTGTCTGTTTTTGTTTTCTGTTGTGGTTTTAAAAATTGTAGAAACCAAGAAAAGAAAACATGTTTAGTTGGGTTTTTTGTTTTTGTTGTGAACTTTATAGCAACAGGTTTTGAAAACCAAGCCCAAATCAACAAAACAATAATAGATGGCTTCGGGCCTATTTCATCCCATGGTTGCTACGGGAGTCTTCCTCCATTAAGTTATTTTTTAATTATTTTCCTCTCTCTCCATGACTTTCTCTATTCCCCCACACCCATCACTTTTCTTCGTGACTTTCCCAAAATCGCCTCTCGTTCTCATCTTCTTCTCCAAACTTTTCTCAGGCCGGGCAGAGACGACCTCGGTCTATTGGGACAGGAGCGAGGTCGGGAGGCAACTTCCCTCTCTTTCTCTTATTTTCTTCTCCGGGATGTCACGCTATACACAAACAAATCGTCTACAGCGAGTCGAGGGGCGGCAGGTTGTTGGGAGGCACTGCGAAGGACGGCGGTGGCTTCCTTTTATTTCTCCGGTCTTCTTTACGGCAAAGGGTGGCATCGGGCTGTTGGGCGGCAGTGGCGCCGATGAATCAGATTTTCATATCTATATATATTTTTTTAATTTGAAATCAAAAGAGAGCAACGGAAGTAAACATGTTTTGTATTGGTTTTTGGTGTTTCGAAATTTGCTACTTTTTTTAGATAAACACGTTGTTGATTTGGATTGTGTTGGTGTTGTGTTGCTTCTCTGATGGCACAACCTTGATAAAACACAACAAGATAAAAATTATACTAAACGGGGCCTTAAACTCCAAACATGTCTTTCAAATCCTTGTGAATTATTTTTTAAACATCTCACCAATTTATGAGGGATTTTATCATTTTGGGAGTTACATATGAAATGGAATTGGTCTAACGGGTCGACCCGCTAACCCACTCAACCAGACCCAAGAAATCATGGGTTATCGGGTTCAAGTCATTCGGATTTCGGGTCATAAAAAATAATTATTTTTCGGGTGGGTCCGACTCTGGTTGTAATTTGTTAGGTCTATGAGAGAGGTTAGAGCGATCCTCTCTCTACTTTCTCTCACCTTATTTTCGGTTCTAGAGCGGTACACATGCACCTTTCAAACTTCGTATTTTGCTTTTTTCCCATCATCAATTGGTAATTTTCTACATGAAGGGGAGAACTATTTGGTATCCCTTTACACTTCCAAAAATTGAGCTACAATTTACGCATCGGTGGTCATACTCATACATGTATAAAGGACTACAAGAATTACCTTATATGTCTAACAATGAACTTTCAATCAACGACTAGTAGCAATGATATCGTTGCTATTTGCTATATTATACAGAATCAATTAATGGTGGTCGAGATCATAGTGTGCTCCTTCCCGTGTAACGGGAAACTCTAAGGGGGGAATTTGGACTGCATTGTCCACTCCAAAAAAAAATTGTTTGATTTTCTTGAAAACTTCCGATCAAGAAATTGGCATTTATAGTTACTTTCACCGTTTAACCTTTTTCCCCAACTAATTAACGAGAAAGTGGGGCATGTTAGTTTCCAACGGTAATTAACTGTTTTTTTTTTAACCAAA